AATAAAGGAGAGGGACCTCAAATTAAATCAGGCCAAAAAGTAATTTTGAAAAAAAGATAGAAGCTTGAAAAAAAACTAAGTGTGATTTCTTTGTTGGTGAAATTGTGAGAAATTCTAGATAATCCTTAAGTGTAAACTTTGAGAGTTATTTATAAGTAAAAAAAATTAGGTTAAACCCCAAAAAAAGAAATTATCCAATACCCAAATCTCAAATTCTTATCTTGACCAGCAAGATTAAGGATCTAGACATATTTGTGCCTAAGTGCAAGAAAAATTGATTTGAAAATGTTTTATTTATTTATAAGATATTTTGACTATTTTAAAAATAAAATAATAATTTTAATAAAAATAATATTTTTTAAAATATAATAAATAAAAACGAAAATAGTAATTTAATAATAAAAAAAAATATGATTTTTGTGGTTAAAAATGAAAATAAAGTTAGTAACAATAAACAACAAAAATATCCAAAGCGTATCAAGTGAGATTCAAACTCTTGTCCTTCTACTTGTAAGTTTTTCTATCTTATCAACTATGTTATGTTACTTATTTGAAATAAAAAATCAATTGAAAGTATATGAAGACGAACAATTATTTACTATTTTAAAAATATAAATAATTTGACATAAATTATTATTATTTTTAAACAGACTTAAAAGCGAATATTTATTAAAACCTCAAAATTTTAATGTAATTATACCAAAGGGATTTTAAAATCCGAATTCGAAAATAAATTTGACTTTAACATTAAAGGCGTGAAAATTTAGAATATGACATAAGACCGTTCGGTTCTTGTGAAAATCCAATGTATTTTTTATCTTAAGTTTTAGTTGGTATGTAATTTCTTTTCTTTTTTTAGATTTATCATCAATTTTTTATGAACGGATTAAAATATCTTTGAAACTCTCTATCATTAAATATTGCTTATAGAAAAACAAATGACGCCACATAGATTCAATAGAATCAAACACAACACGTGACTTCAAAGCAACAACCAAATCATTTCATATGATTCAACATTGACGATATCTTCCAAATTCATTTTAGCTCTACAAGAATCTGAGTCATAGGTGAAAATGAAACCATAAAAAGCAGAAACTATACTCCTCACTCAGTTCTTAAGTTTCGTGTGTAATATTATTTGAATACGTATATAATTAATCCTAACTTTTTATTTTACATTTTAAAAACACTTAGTGATATAAAAAAGAGGTTTGGAAGGGAAAAAGTATATTTAATCATTTTGAAAAGCTAATGTTTTGAGATAATTTTTTCATAAAACTCTCTAATTGCATTTGTGATTATATGATTGGAAATAGTGTATTGCCCCATTGAGCCACTTTATATAGTTTATAAAACATTAAATTGGGTAAGTGATGGTGGGCTACGTGATCAAATTATAAATTAATCTTATATTTGTTGGGAAAAATAAAATAACAATACAAAAGATTAATGAATAAATTTTAAAATGAGAGAAAAAATCATGATTGTTGTCAAATAATAATCACAAAATAATACTATGTGAAAATTATTATAACATATGAACAACTCTCGAGTATTCCAAGACTCTAATACACTCATTTATTCCAAATCAAATATTTAACTATCCTTTACAACACTCTAAAACAAAAGTATAATAGAAAATATAAAAAGTTAAATATAAGGTTAAAGTATTTTTGACTGATACATCTTGTAAACAAAAACTTGAATCATATATATAGCATTAAACTCCTTCTTCCTTCACGCAACTCACCGATGAGAGATTTCTTCAACATATATATTTTCAACCAACTCTAACAATCTCTACCTTGATTGAAAATAATACATTAATTTTCATTGTCTTCACCGACAATCATACTCAACCATAAAAAGTATAGTCACTTGAAGCTACATCACTAAAAAAAATTTCACATTGTCTTCACCGACAATCATAATTTTAAAAACTATCATACTCCACCTAAAGAAGAGTATACTTCACTTGAAGCTAAACCACTTCAAAAAAATTCACTTGAAGCTAAACCAAATTGAAATTTTATGGTGCAATTTCTATGTTGGTAAGAAGCTCTTCAACCATCGACGTAATCTCACAACATACTTTGCATCAATATACATGTGTTAATTCGCTAGAAATAACACGTCTTTTTTCATGAAAATAGAAATGTCATGAGGACACACTTCTCACTTTTTAGATAAGATCATCCTCTATCGCAGCGAGAGAGACATTAATAGCATTTGACTTAGAGCTCTTCTTTGACATTGCCCCATCATGACACTTATACTTTATATGTCCAATCTTTCCACATTTCCAACATCTCACACCCGTTTCATTTATTTTCTTTACATAAGGTCTTCATCTGAAAACCAACACTGAGTTTGATGAAGTATTATCCTCACCCTTCAATCTTCTTTCTTCAGAAATAATTTTACTAACAACTTCTTCAAAACTAAAAGTTTCCTTCCCATATATCAAAATAATTTTAATATGCTCATAAGAATATGAAAGAGACCATATGAGTTGAAAGCTTTATCTTCATCATCAATCTTGACTCCAATAATTTACAATTCAGAAATAATACCATTTAGAACACTTATATGATTAGACACTTTTGTTTGTTAATCCATATGCAAGCTATGAAACTGCTCCTTCAACAATAATCGATTTGATAATATCCTTTTCTTGATATATCCCTTCAAGTTTCTCTAAAAGTTTTTTGACTGACGTCGTACCAAGAACATTCGCAAAAATATTCTTAGCCAAAGACATGCAGATTGTACTCTAAGCTCTCAAATATAGTTTCTCCCGTTTCTTGTTGCCCATGTTGGAAATGTTTCTTTTCAAAGTATTGTGTAATTCTAATTGTATAAAAACATCCTTGACTTGAATTTTTCATAAGCCAAAATTGATTCATCCATCAAATTTCTCAAAGTCAATCTTCACAGCACTTGAAAAACTTGACATTGCAGCCAAAACATTTACTGCAGCAAAATAAAATTTTCTCAACCAACACAGAGTATAAATTTTCTTTTATGATGTGGAAGATCAGAGAAAACTACCACCACAAAGCATACTAAAATTTATACTTCACCAAACCAAGACTCTGATACCACTTGTTGAAAAAAAAACAAATTATAGAAAAAAAAGATTAAAAAAATAACAACACAAGAGATTAACGTGAAAACCTTAAAATGGATGAAAAAAAATCACGACCGTTGTCAAATGACAACCACAGAATAACACTATGTAAAAATTGTTAGAACACATAGACTACTCTCAACCACCCCAAAACCCCAATACACTCACAATCTCTAAAGCAAATATTTAACTACCCCTTACAGCAATCTAAAACAAGAGTATAAGAGAAAATATTAAATGTCAAATATAAATTTAAAGTGTTTTTGACTGGTACATCTTGTAAAGAAAAACTTGAATTCTATATATAGCTCTGGACTCCCTCTTTCTTCACATAATTAACCAACGTGGAACTTTTTCAACATATATATTTTCAACCTACCCTAACAATATTCAAGACTATTTTTTATTTAATTTGTTAATCTCCCCTTAATCCTAAGCAGCCACAATACTGTTTATCATCTTCGAATTCACTATTCATGAAATTATTCTGTGTGTTGTATGATTCATGGAGAACTAATCTCAAGATAAAATTTATTGATTACAGGTTCCACCATACTTTGAGATTATAATAGTTTCAATCTAAATTCTATTCCTTTCAATGTTGTTATGTGATTATTGTTTGCTTAATTCGATTATCATATAGTATTGTTGATTTAATCCGACTGTTGTATGCTCATTAACTGTAATCTATTAGTGTAGTTTATTCGTTATCGTGTTTGATAGAGTCGTGTTTGCTTAATTCACGAGAACTTAAATCTGTTTGCTTAATTCAGATAATAGGAACTTGCATCACATAATACCAGTTGCGCTTGTCAATGATTTTTATAATCGAATAGGAATAGATAATTTGCTTAGGAGATTGAAATTATAATAATCAGTTATAAGTCGGAACCAGAATCAGTAGATTAGCCATTTTAACTTATTTCATAATCACTTATTTTTAATCACTTATTCTAAATCAAAACCTAAAACTCCCCTTGTTTCAGCTGGTTAATTTTAATCAAGAGTCTTTGCGATGAACTCTTTTATATTAATTTTTTAAGAATAAATTATGATTACTTCTTTAAAGGTCTATTAAAATGACATCGACATTTCCTATAATTTTAAAATATACACTAACCTTCTTTAAAATTTATTAAAATAGCACTGACACCCCTCTAATTTTTAGGGTCGACCAAAAATCATAAATATAAAATTATATTTATTTACGATTTTTCCCCATTCAAAATTACCGTTAATATATGTAAATATAAGAGAAATTAATGAATATTTTAATATTAAAAAAATATTATGTTTTTTAAACATATTTTAGAGGAGACGAGTTAATTATTCTTTTTTTCTTCTTTTACATCATCTTCTGTTTCTAGTTATTTGACTCCTCTTAATTTGATTTCCTCTCTTAATTTGTGTTATAAAAAAATTCAATTGAACAATATTTTTGTGTTAGATAAAATTTATGAAATTTTTCTCTAATTCAAACACTCAACTTAAATTAGATCGTTTTCCTCCCTCTTCTAAAAATTTAATTATTCCAAACGAATCAAAACAAATATCTTAATCACTAACCATCCTTATTAACTCCGAAAAATAACAACATAAATTCGTAAACCACAAAGCTTAATACACAATAATTTAAATAGAATCTTGAGGTGTTCACTTTGAGAGTTGAGAAACTATAAAATCCATAGTTGTTGCAACTAGCTGTGAGAGAAGAGCTGGATTAAACAGGTCGCATTATTATTTTAAGAAAATTTATCTTCATAATTTGTTTTAAATATATTATTAATGAAAACACTGTTTTCATTTTATAATCTCACAAATATTCCATATATATACACATCCCTTTGAGATTATAATAGCAGAAAACATGTCACCCCTTGTTATTTTCCCTTTTGCTCTCTTGCTATTCTTCTTGTTCAGAAAACACAAAATAACATCCAAGAAACCAACTCTTCCACCAGGACCTAAAGGCCTTCCTTTCATTGGAAACTTACACCAACTTGATAGTTCATCTCTTGGTATAAACTTTTATGAACTCTCAAAACAATATGGCTCTTTAATCTTCCTTAAACTTGGTTCAAGACCAACACTTGTTGTTTCATCTGCTAAAATGGCCAAACAAGTAATGAAAACACACGATATTGAATTCTGTAACCGACCCGCTTTAATCAGTCATATGAAACTCTCTTATAATGGATTAGATCAATTCTTTGCACCGTATAGAGAATATTGGAGACACACTAAAAAACTTTCCTTCATCCAATTTCTTAGTGTCAAAAGAGTAACAATGTATTCTTCAGTTAGAAAATATGAGGTGACTCAAATGATGAAGAAGATATCAGAACAATACGTGCCCTCTAATAAACCTGTCAACTTGCATGATCTTCTTACTTGTCTTACAAGCGCAATTGTTTGTAGGACAGCATTCGGGAGGAGGTTTGAAGAGGAAGGAACTGAGCGTAGCATGTTTCATGATTTGCTTAAAGAAGCGCAGGAAATGACGATTTCGTTCTTTTACACGGATTATTTGCCTTGTTTTGGAGGGATTATTGATAAATTTACTGGAATGATGGGTCGCCTTGAGAAAACATTCAAGTTTTTGGATGGATTTTTTCAGAGTATAGTTGATGAACATCTTGATCCTGAAAGGAAGAAGATGCGTCCGCATGAAAAGGATGTTATTGATGCTTTGATTGAATTGAAGAATGATCCTTACTGCTCAATGGACCTTAAATCTGAACACATTAAACCCATGATCATGGTTAATACTATTTTTTTTCTTCACTCTAATTTTCCATCAAAATCTCTTATAGTTTTAATATAACATATTATTCTTTTTAATATTGCAGAATATGTTATTGGCGGGGACAGACACAATGGCGTCCGCGGTAGTTTGGGCTATGACCGCGCTAATGAAGGATGCAAGAGTAATGCAAAAAGTACAAGAAGAAATTAGAAAAGTATTTGAAGGGAAAAGTTTTATAGATGAAGAAGATGTTCAAAAACTTCCATATCTCAGAGCGGTTATAAAAGAAACAATGAGATTATACCCTGCTTTGCCGATACTTCTACCAAGAGAAACCATGAAAGAGTGTGAAATTGAAGGGTACACAATTCCAAACAAGACATTAGTGTTTGTAACGCTTGGGCGATTCATAGAGATCCAGAAGCTTGGAAGAATCCAGAAGAGTTTTATCCAGAGAGATTTATAGGAAGTGATATAGACTTTAAAGGACAAGATTTTGAGTTGATTCCATTTGGTTCAGGGCGAAGAGTTTGCCCCGGCTTAAACATGGGAGTTGCTACGGTGGACCTTTTACTTGTTAATCTTTTATATTTGTTTGATTGGGAAATGCCTGAAGGAGTAAAGAGGGAAGATATAGATCTTCATGGTCTTCCAGGACTTGTTAAACACAAGAAACACCCTCTGTGCCTTGTTGCAAAGACTAAAATTGCATGTGCATGATTTAATGTTGCATGCTATCTTATATTTATGTTGAGAAAATAAAACATGCATGTTGTTATGACTAGCTAAGCCACTACTATATTTACCATTTCCCTTGTATTATATGTTCAAAGAAATAAAAAATCATCTTCGTTTAGAGTTCAAGAAATTAAATTTATCCTAATAGATTAATAAATTGTTTTAAACTCATTCATTATCATCCAAATTGACAACTCCCTTTTATTTACCACCCCCAAATCTTAGCACGAAGTTGGACAATTGGGTGACAAGCAGGAATGTCTATCACGTTTAAGTACGTTCTTCTGTTAAAATCCGTAAAAAAATAGAATGAGACGGACATAGTTGAAGGTGTAAATCTAAAATTTTGTATTTTTTATCTTAATTCTAATTGTTATTGTTTTAACGCTACATATCCAATCAAAATCTTAAGACAACAGAAATATGCGACACGTCCTCTTATAAATCGAACATTTATGAAATTTTAACCCCTCACACTTAAAACCCCAACACTTTCAAGTCATCAACATACTACATTTAAAAAATAATAATTTGGCTTCAAAATGTATCTCACTAAAATGACATATGATACGATACTCTTTTGAAGTGCCAACATGTATCCACTAATGGAGAGTTCACAAGTTGTATGTGAATTTGACAATGGGTGTCCAATAAATAGCTTCTTGCCCACACAATTCTGCAGAAGCATAATAAGAAATAGCTCTACTTCCCGATGAAAAGAATTTGCTTTCAGAATACCAATTGAATTTGAGTCACTACAACCAAGAGAGAGAGAGAGAATTGTATGTTCAAATTACATGTTATATAATTTGTTTGTCTTTAAGTATATGCAATCGGCTGAAGTTCACTATATGTATCCCTTTCACTCCGAATAACTACTTGTTGTAAAATGCACATGTGAAGACTCGTGTAGGCCTTTGATTTACCTCTGGTCTTGAAACTAAGGACTCAGTTGGACATTTCAACATCTACGTGACATATGTTACAATTGTATTTACTGTAGGAAACAAAAGAGATGATTTTGTATCTGCCATTTATTTTGAAATTTAGGTAGTATAACAATTATAATCTAAACATTATGACAACTTTAGAGGTTAATGTTGATATTGCAAGAAGAAGAAATTTTGGGAAAGAAATTTTTCGTTATGATATGATTATGGTTACATACATGAAGCTTTTTATATACATAATAATAATAATAATAATAATATAATAATAATAATAATAATAATAATAATAATAATAATAATAATAATAATAATAATAATAATAATAATAATAATAATAATAATAATAATAATAATAATAATAATAATAATAATAATAATAATAATAATAATAATAATAATAATAATATAATAATAATAATAATAATAATATAATAATAATAATAATAATAATAATAATAATAATAATAATAATAATAATAATAATAATAATAATAATAATAATAAATAATAATAATAATAATAATA